TATAGGATACTGAAGGAACAGAAAGTGGATAAAATGTGTCCTTCCTTAGAGACCCTTATTATCTAGAGGAATGAACAAATTCTTTTTAGACACTAAACTCCTTAGTAAGAACAAAGCATCAGGTCTGTCTTATTTGCCACAATATCCTCAGAATTTAGCACAGTGCCTGATACATAGTAGGTGTTCAGGGTTTAAATGAGTTTAAAAAAAAAAAATCCCTTTAAAAAAACTATACTTTTTTTTTTTTTTTTTTTTTTGCGGTACGCGGGCCTCTCACTGTTGTGGCCTCTCCCGTTGCGGAGCACAGGCTCCGGACGCGCACGCCCAGCGGCCATGGCTCACGGGCCTAGCCGCTCCACGGCATGGGGCATCTTCCTGGACCGGGGCACGAACCCGTGTGCCCTGCATCGGCAGGCAGACTCTCAACCACTGCGCCACCAGGGAAGCCCGATACTTTTTAAGTTATCAAGCAGTGATGTGTCATTCAGTAGTCATTTAAGACAGTTCTAGTTTCCCAATTTAATTTTCCCTGCTCCCTACTATGAATGGATATTGGTTGGTGATAATAGAATTTGTTTGATGTAAAACAATGAGTTCTTTGCAAACCTGTAGTTTTTCTGTTATTCACTAGCCGGAAATCCTTTATACTTTTGGTTAAAAAAAAAAATTAGTAAGCTTCAGATGGCATGGCCACTTAACATTTTTACATGTGATTTTTAGAATTGCCATCCCCATTTTCATAGGATCATGTTTTACATTTCTCTGGATAAATTTTAGAAATAGTCATTCTTTGTTAGAAAGTCAGATAGGGATAAAGATAAAAATACATTATTTGATTCATTATTTTATATTTGGAATTTTTAAAGGTAGGGGAAATCATAAAATAAAATAATAAAGAAGAAAACAGAGAAAGGTTCTATGATTCAAGGAGGGGGAAAATTAGATTATTTGTGAGCTCCACAAGAACAAACGTCAAATCTGTCTTTATTTACCAGACTAACAACTTTCAGTTCATCTCTGGCTTCACAAATTTTCTTTGAAACAAATCCTTCTAAAGTTTTTTTTATTGATTCCATTGCCCTGCTGTGTATAATTAGTGTGGGATTTGTTAGGATATTTATCAAAACTGGCAGGGTGGCCTGCATAGTCAGAATATTCATATCTAATAATGGACATTGTATGAACTATCTGAGGATTCTTTTTTGACGTTAGTCCTTACCCTGGCAGATAATTAAGAGCTTGGGGGTTGGATTTCTGATGAACCAGAATAATGTCTTAAAAAAATTTTTTTTTAATATAAAGAAACAAACAGTAGCATTCTCCTTATGGGTACACCTTTATATATTTTAATAGTAAGATGGACAAGTTAGGCCCTCCACTTCGAACTGGAAGACATGTGCAAAGGTTGCATGACAGTGATACAAAATCAGACAGTGCCATCAAAAGACATGAGTTATTACCCATTTACAAGTAAGTATTTGTAACTCAGTTTGATTAATCTTTTTCAGATATTTCCTTAAAGGCTTTATATAATGGAATACTGTAAATTTGTACATTCCTATACTTAAATTTTTTTTATTTTAATCATTTTTAAGCCAAGAAGTACTAAATACTCTTCTAGGATTTATCACACTTTGATTTTTGATGAACATTTCTATTGTCCTAAATCTGATTTTAGAGCTTTCATTTTATTCCATTATATTTTAATTTTTAGAGGGTTGAAATAAGAGTCACCTTCAATAATTGTTATTTTTATGAAGCTCTTTTTTAGGAGTAACATTTTTAAAAGAAGAATACGGGGAATATTACATCATATGTAACACTGTTAGATTATCTTTTAGTTAAGCAGACGATACATTATTATAAAAAAGCTGGAGAAAAAAGAAATCTTAGAAAACATTCAATCCAGGATCCTCAGTCTTTTTGTTAGATGGTTACAAATTCCACATAAAACAGGGAAAAGGTTATGACACTGCCAAGCACACTCCCCTCTGTGTACTGGCCTAGCAGACTGAGTGAGGCAAGAGTGGCAGTGGCAGTCTTGGAGCTCTCCTGCACAGGCCTTCAAGGTTTACTAGTTTGGGCCCCCAAACCAAGTCTAGCCCTCTCAACTTAAAATGATGAACTTAGGGTCTCATAAGTTAAACTACTTATTAACATTGAAAAATATGTTGTTAAATAGAGTTTGCTTAGTTAAATTTTAAACCAAGGCCCGCTACAACATTCTCTTAACACTAGATTATAATAAATTTAACTAGATATACAATAAAACAAAGATGGGAAAAGTCTTTGATGCATTAGCAGCCGTCATGTGTTATTTTTAAGTAGTTGGTGATAAATCCTAGAAGGAAAAATTTGTGCCCTGAGCCTTTTTCTTTGTACTCCAACTCTCTGTACCCTCTGAAGCAGATCTCAAAGAAACAGTGATTAGCAGTGAGGTAGATTAAGTGCAGTTCCAAAATTAAACCTTCTTTGTTATTGCTTGAACTACAGCAGGCAGACTATAGATACATAATATGGGTAGCACTTTTCAGACTCTGGCCAGGAAGAAAAACGTGTTGACCATGTGAGACTGGGGCAACGTGTTTTAAGTACTGCTCAAAATGGTTCTAGTTCTCCAGTCTCTTAAGAATGGTTCTCAACATTCCGATTCTACTTCATAGATATTACTAAAAGTACACGATTGGCATTGAATAGTGGCAGCTGTAGTTGATAACCTTATATTTTTCTTTAATTTTTAAAATTTTCTAATTATTTGAATAGCTATTGATAATGAAGTTGTGTGTGTATATGCATGGGTTTGTTTGCATTATCTATATATCTCATATACATATTATATGAAGGTGATAGGATTTCTAACAAGACTTTATTCTAGAGCCCCCCCAAAAAAAGAAATGTGTCCTTCCTGATTCTCTTATAACTCTTATTACTTGGAGGAATTGCCATCCTTTGGCAATGAATTTTCAGAGATTGAGTTCCTAAAAAGGCATGTGATAGTTCTACAACATCCCTAGAGAGGCTGTATAAAAGTAGAGTAGAATACACCTCATGGATGGGCTTGCATATTGAATATAAGATTTTTAATAAGACCCACCTAAATTCAAGTTGAAACACTCTGGCCATGTAATAGCTTTGCACTTCACTTAATCTCTGAATATGAGTTTCTTCGACTTTAAAATGGGAATAATATCTTCTGAGATTTTTGTGAAGATTAAAGAAGCAAAGTATGTATAGTACCTGCTATCATATTTGGCATGTAATGGGCATTTGAAAAATAGTAGATGTTGTTATTTCCTGCATGTATTTTGGAGATAGCCCTTTAAAATTTTGGGAGACTCTCTCCAACTTTGCTGTATAAGTAGAAAAGGAAGAATTTCAGCCAGTTTGAGAACTTCCAATGTAAAGGCATTTTTTAAAGTATCCTACTTGATCATATAACACAACATTGCTTGTCTCTGAAATGAAAAGATTTGACTAAATTTCTAAAGAGTGGGAGGGAATTAACACTGTATTGAACATCTTACCCCTGGTTCTGCAACATACTGACTGTGTCTGTCACCTTGGGTAAATTACTCTTTGCCTCAGTTGCCTCCTTTGTAAAATGGAATTATTAATCCTTCCTACTTCATAGGATTATTTTGAAGATTAAGTGAGTTTTATATGAAGGCAATTAGAAAAGTAGCTATACCAAACGTAGTAAGCACTGTTATATAAATGTTAATTTGTAGTGGCAATAGCCATAGTAGTAATAGTAGTATTACCACCATCAACTATGCTAAATGTTTATAAAAATTACAATTTATATATCTAACTTTCTGTAAGATAAGCGATGATGGTCATATTTTATAAATGAGGGAACTTGGACTCAGAGAGGTTGCCACTACCAGAGAGTTGTTCAGAACAAGCTTTCTTTGATTCTGACAGTTTCAGAAAGGGAATTCAGTTATGATCCAACCACAACTTCTTCTTTACTGGTAACAGGTAGCCCAGGGTGTATAGTTGGTGAAATTAAATCTTTATATTAACCCACTTATTTTAGTTGCTCTTTCCAACAACAGACTTTCGTAAATAGAATATTATCCTTTTAAAATGGTTAGCTGATTTTTTTAACCACACCTCATACGCTTTTAACATTATTATTTAACAGTTATTCATAGGCGCTTAACAAAACACATCTCTATTTTGAGGGAACTGTAGATTTCAACTTTTAAAAATTTGAAACCTTTTAGAATGATTAACTTATAAATTTCATCTAAAGAATATATACATATGTCAAATGATTTTATGTACCATCAAGATAATGTTAGTAAATGCAGAATGCTTTGGTTTATCCTTAGTATTAAGGATTTCAGTTTTGAAATAATCATTTGGATTTTAATCTTTTGAATTTACCTCTCTACAGCTTCTAATTATTATTATTTTTTATTGGAGTATAATTGCTTTACAATGTTGTGTTAGTTTCTGCTGTACAATGAAGTGAATCAGCTATATGTATACCTATGTCCCCTCCCTCTTGGACCTGCCTCCTACCACCCCCTCCAGCCTCCCCCATCTAGGTCATCACAGAGCACCGAGCTGAACTCCCTGTGCAGCAGGTTCCCACTAGCTCTCTGTTTTACACATGGTAGTATATTTATGTCAAACCTAATCTCCCAGTTCGTCCCACCCTCCCCTGCCCCCTGTGTCCACATGTCCATTCTCTACTTCTGCGTCTCCATTCCTGCCCTACGTATAAGTTCATCTGTACCATTTTTCTGGATTCCACATATATGTGTTAATGTACAGTATTTCTCTTTCTGGCTTACTTCACTCTGTATGACAGACTCTAGGCCCATCCACATCCTTCACATGACCCAATTACATTCCTTTTTATGGCTGAGTAATATTCCATTGTATATATGTACCTAATTATTTTTCTAATCATGTAAATAAGCAATTCGAGAAAGAAATGCTTACTATTCAGTAGGTTTTTCATTATGCCATCTCCTTCTCTCTTCTAGAGCTAACATCAAACCTCGAAATTCCACACCACCTAGTTTGGCTAGAAATCCTGCCTCAAGTATGCTTGCAAGCAAAAGAAAAACATATACTGAGAGCTACATGGCCAGGTATGTTTAGCTCTGATATTCTAATAACTAAAATAAAAATGAGTATATGCTGCTTTTCAAGGACCATATACAAAAATTTCTATCAGGCTATTTATAGAAAATCTAATTTTTCCTTTGCTATATGATTTAATTTGGCTTTTATGTTATACACTAAAGAAATAGTTTGGGCATAAATAATGTTTTCTTATACCTTATAATCTTTATGGTAAATACTCAAGGATGTTTGTTCATTTACAGTGGATGCATTTGTTTTTTATGTCTTAATTTTAACTGCAACATGCTTATTTTTACCTCTAGAAATTGAATTGACCCTTTACACCACTGCTACTATAATTTTCAGCAGCGTTTTAATACATTTAAATTCCCCTGCTGAGATTGTGATTATCTATGTACTTCCCTTTCTGATCTGTCACAGTATTTGTACAGCTTCGACATTCACTCTGTTTTTAAGCATATAATGAAATCATTTCAGTTATATTTATTTTTTATATGTATCCCAATTTATTCCAGAAAGTTTTAAGGAAAGGTACAGAAGGCCATGATGTATAGTGAGATACAGCATTTTTTTTTAAATGAAGGAAGAATAGGAAAAGGAAAGACGAGAAATGGAAAAAGGAATGGGGTTACTCCACAAAATGTGTGTCATGAGACCCTGGAGATGGACTAGCCCTGGGCCACAAAGTGGAGTTTGAACTTTGTTTTAGGAGCCAAAGTACAGGAGAGGATAGGAGTAGTTACATGATTCATGATGTCTAAAACAGAAAAATAAATCACTTTCTCTGTGAAAGTACAACTAGTTCTGAGGCTTCAAAAATTCTCCTTTGATTTCTCATAAGGAGACACTGGATAACTTAATTGTTAACTTCTTAATTAACATCCCTACTGAATCCATACTGAATATGGCAGTGGATTTCATAGGGTGTTTTTTTTAAGGTGCCCTCAATGCAGGCCTATAATGTGACATCCTATGATTCACCAAAACCAGTTGTGATGTGGGTGTGTTATGTGTAACTGTATATATTGTCTGCTTTTGTTGTAAGTATGTAACATGTACATAGTCATTATTCAGATTTAATCCGGGGATAGATTTTCAAGTATCTAAGATGATAGCTCTCCATTCTGGTTGCCCATTAAAAAGAAGCATCTGTGGAGCTTTCTGAAAATGAACACGTCAGGGTCCCTCCCTGAGATTTTGATTTCTTTAATTTGGAGAGTGGGATCTGGGCATCTGTCATTTGGAAAGTTTTAAGAGTGATGCCTATGCATAAGATGAGGACCGTAGAGGGATTGGTGAATTGCTGTCTTTTCAGCTAGATTCTGTAATAAATATTGTTTGTCTCACCTGAGGTTTTAATACATGTTAAATATCAAAGAAGTTAACTTATGTTTCTTAGAGTCCTGGAGTGTGGTTGTACTATGTTGTTGTATATGTGTGGAACCATGTGTTTTGAATCAATGCCGAGTATAAGATTAACATTCTTATAAAATGGAAAACTTAATAAATACATATGATTGAATAAAAAGATCATTTTATCTTTCCAAAGAGGAGGACAAAAGAAGTGTCAACAGGCAGGAGTAAAATTCACATTAAAAAATGTTTGGCTTATTCTTTTTTTTTTACTTTTTAGAGCTTATATGTGATAGGAAGGCTTGAGCCTTACTCACTTGACTTATACTCTGCCCCCATCCCAGACAGAAATAATTATAACCATAACAGATAGAGAATTCTCAGAGATTTACTTTTCTGGCAGTGTGATAGACTACATTTCCAGGACAACCCCTCCCACCCAAAACACCTAGAAATGCTGGATAAAAAAGAAAAAATATCTTTCTGAATGTATAGCTTAGCTCTCAGAAAAGTAACGGGAACTTCTACAGACGAGGCCAAATTGTAAATTAACTGTCACACTGCAGCTACATTTGAGGTTTTCTGTGATCTTCACTATGTAGAGACTTGGGTTTTAAGGTCATTGTGGGAGAGAGGAGTTGACTTCTTGGACTTGTACAAAATGGAGTGTTAAAAACAACTTTTCCTTACCCTTCCCGCCGTGCCTCTGCTCTAAGCCAAGACTCTTGAAAGATTCAGTAAGGAGTCTTCTTAGACTCAGCCAGAGATACTTATATGACAGTATATTACATTTGTCACTGGAATTGTTTACAGAAATATAGGATAATAACAGGGCAGTGTCAGGTGTTTCTCTTTCATGGGAGCCCTTGCAGCGGTCCTGGAGCTCGTCTTCCTTGGCTGTCTAGCTGACAGCTTAGGTGTGAGAGAATAAGTTCTCATAGGTGGGTGTAGGGACAGTTTAATGAGAAATCCTTTGTCCCCAAAGGGAACCAGTATCTCATATAACAGCTTCATAGGCATAGCTTCCAGGTTATCCTGAGGGAGATATCCAGTTTCAGTGGACTGCTTATAAACACCGTTGCCTAGAAACACAGCTGGCATTTCACCTATATTGGATTTTCATTAAACAGAGCTAGGAAGTTATCCCAAGGTCAAATATGTACACAGGAAAGGAGAAAGAGTGTGTTAACCCTTCTCTCACAGTATTCAAAGGGTTATCTCTCAGTGAAAGGATGGACTAGGAAAAAAAAATTTTTTTTACCACCCAGGAATAAGACTCCAAGGAAACTTGTCTGCCTCAGCCATGGCTCAGAGGGATGTGAGAATTCCCACCAATAATTCATAACTATAGGCGCACCTTCCCATGAGTTTAAGGTTTGAAAGCACAACATCTGCATATTCTAAGAAATTCTTAACTGAAAAAATAGCTTAGATACTCTTGGTTTAAGAGCTTCCTTGGAGCTTGTAAAAGCAAAAGCAAAAAGAATCATCTATGGTGTGAAATGCTGTTAACCCAGGCCTCCTGATTCGCACAGGTAAATAAACATGAGCTTGCAATTCTGAATTACAGAACACACATGGAAATTTCACACTGTACAAGGAAACAAAGGATCAGTCATGAAAGCAAAAAAAAACGAACACATGTGCCCATGACTTATGATACCGAAATCATCATAATTATGACTTGTAAAATAAGTCAGTTTGAAGTATATAAGGAAATAAGACAGGGAATTGAAGTCATTAACAGTGATAATATACTATCAAAAAAAGATTAGAGCATCTTTACAAAAGAACCAAACAACTCAATATAAGGGAAAAAAAACCTCAAAAGATGGTGTTTAAATTGTAGATTAGACTCGGCTGAAGAAGAGAGGAGTGAACTAGAGGAAAGATTCGAAGACATTATCTAGAGTGTAGTCCTAAGAGAGAAGGAAAGCGTGAGAGAGATTAAAAATCATAGGTGGTAAAATAAGGTCTAAGATTTGTTGAGTCAGAGGTCGAAAGAAACTAGAGTGAGTGAGAGGCAACATTTGGATAATTTATACCTGAAAATAATCCAGGATTAATGAAAAACATGAGTTCTCATAATCAAACAACAACAATCCCAAGCAGGACAAATAAAATGAAAACAACATGTAGATGCATTGTAATGAAACTTGGGAAGACAGACCATGAGAAGGTCTTAAAAGCAGCCACAGCGGAAAGACGTTACTTAGACAACGTGAGGATCACCCAGCTAGTACAGAGCTCGCTTGCAACACTTGGAGCCAATAGACAATGGAATCGATCCACATGTTCAGGGTGCCGACGGAAAATAACTGTGGACCTTTGATTGTTCACCAGCTGAACCAGTGGTTCTCAAGCTTTAATGTGCATCAGAATCCCCTGGAGCACTAATTTCAACACAGCTCGTTGTCCCCACCTGAGGATTTCAGAGTCAGTGGGTCTGGAGTGGGGCACAGGTTTGCATTTATAGTAAATTCTCACTTGATGCTGATGCTGCCAGATTAAGGACATCACTTTGTGAACCACTGAACTATACTGTCAGTCTAAGAATGAAAATGAAATAAAGCTGTTTTCAGACAAAAAATATTGAGAAAATTTACCAGCTGTAGACCGTGACTAAAAGAACATTCAAAGGGAGTATCTTGGGAAAGAGTAAAGTGTCCAGAAGAGGAGGAATTTTGCAAGGCGGACTGGTGTAGAAATCAGTAATTAAGTAAATCTAAACTAATAGTACATGAAATAATAAAGATAAAACAGAAATTAATGAAATAAAAAGATTATAATGGAGAGCATTAAGGAAAAAAACTGGTGGTCAAATAGGAGCTTCCTCCCAGACGGTGCTCAGCAACTGCAAGAGATCCTGATGAGACCAGTAGATCCGAACCTTGGCTTCTGTATCTTTGTTGGCAGGAGGTAGAGAGGGAGCTTCAGGATTCTGTGTGGTACTTCACCTTTAATTAATTCAAATTCTCATCAGCCTGCTGTCATCAGGTTGAATTTTGTCAGGCCCTTTGTTCTAATTTACTTCGTTGTCACAACATGCTCCAAACTCTTTCATTCTTCATCCCCTCTACTGCAATCCTAACGGCTCTGACCAGTCTCTGCCACCCTGTACCATGTCCTCTTTGCTTTATTGTTTTCTAGCTGACATGCTATATATGTTATTTATGTTGTTTCTTCTCCATAAAACTAAGCTCCCTAGGCACAGGGATTCTTACCTGTTTTGTTACTGCTCTTAACTCTAGGATCAAAAGGAGTACTTTATGTAAACTAGGCTCCCAGTAAATATTTTTAAATGAATAAGTGAATGAATAACACATGATGAAGACTCACAAAACGAGAAGGTTGGTTGATTTAAAATGATAAACTTCTCAAGATGGATCAACAAAAAAGGAGAGACGGTACAAATAATATGCAGAATGAAAAGAGGAATGCAACCACAGATGCAGCAGAGATTTAAAATTGTAAGAACAACTTTTTGCCAGTAACTTGAAACAGATAAAATGCACAATTTCCTAGAAAAATATAACTTTTGAAAACTTATTTCAAATGAACTAGAAACTATAATCATTAAAGAAATTGGATCAGTAGTTAAACTGTGCTTGCTTCCTCACTACACGAGTGCACGTACACACACATACGGTGTACACACACACACACACACACACACAAAATGGGCTCATGATAGTTTTATATAGTAAGTTCTACCAAACTTTTCCAGAGGAGTGAGGTGAAAAACAACATTCTTCAACTTATTTTCAAAGGTTAGTGAAACCGTGATATCCAGACTAATGAGAGAATGCAAAATTATGATCAGGCTTACTTATAAACTTGAAAATACATATAAAAATCTCCAAGAAATTTATCAAACCCGGGCCACAGACGTGAAATTCATGACACTGTAGATTCATCACAGAAAATGATTAATTTAACATTAGAAAGTCTATTAATATAATTTTTCACATCAACAGATGGAAGGGTTAAAAAATATTCGTCAAATAATAATATATGATTTACCACCTATTTTTGATTTTTTTAAAAAAGCTCTTAGAAAATTGGGAATAGAAGGGAATGTCGTTAAATTGACAAGAATGCTAGATTTACTAGAACCCTACATCACTCTTCATATTTAGTGGTGGCATGTAAGAAGCATTTTCTGTAAAAGCAGAAATAACACAAGAATGTCGGCTATAATTTCTATTTTAATCTAGCTAGTGTAGTAAAAAAAAAATAAAATTACAAGACATGGAAATAAGGACACAAAACTGTTATATTTACATATATATATATTATGATTATATATAGAATACCCAAAAAAAGACAAATTAATAAATAATAATGAAGTCTTTTAATAAATTTGCTGGTTTTCTTATCATTATATTGAAAGTTATTGCAGTCTGTTTATCAGCAACAAACAGAAAATGCAGTCTTCAGAAACACACACACACACACACACACACACACACACTCTCTCTCTCTCTCTCTCTCTCTCTCTCTCTCTCTCTCTCTCTCCCCCCCCCCCTCTCTCTCTCTCTCTCTCTCTCTCACTCACTCAAGGTATTTAGGAATCAATTTAAAAACCAAGCAAGAAGTTTAACTTTGATGGAGAAAATTACAAAACTTCAGAGATGTTCAAACCTAAGTAGAAATATACCTTCTTTATAAAATAGAAAATTCAATATTATAAAGCTATCTATTCTCTCCTAAATCAGTGTATAAATTCTGTGCCATTTTCAAACAAAGTTTATGAATCCTGACAAGTTCTTTTCATATGAAAGAACAAAAGCCTAACATTAGCCAGGACAAGTTAAAGAATAATGCATGAATGATTTATGAAGCTATAGTAATTAGTGTGATACTGATTCAAGGGTAGACAAATAGAACAATGGATCATGATGGAGTGGTTAGAAAAAGACCCCATGGATTTTGTTTAATCTGAACTAGAAGAATATTAACAATGAGATTAAGCAAGCTTTTAGTTACACTTAATATTATGTTCTGTTTCCCAAGGCTTACAGATTGAAAACTACTGACATGAACTTGGTGTTTCTACTTTCTTTCTGTACCTCCCCAGGCCAGATGGAGACTATGTCTCTTCACTTAATGGTGGAAACGTTAAAGGCATTGAAGGAAACTCAGTGGGACACTTAACAAAATTCTGCCATGAGTGTGGGACTAAATACCCTGTAGAATGGGCAAAGTTCTGCTGCGAATGTGGCGTTCGAAGAATGGTTCTGTGAACAGAATCCAAACAGGAAAAGAGCTAAGTCCAGAATTTTATGACTGTTGCTGCTTGGACATCTAGAGCACTTCCTCTAGTGATCTTGTGCTAAAATCATTCATAATACTTTTTTCAACAGTTTTTGGAGCATAATCCTTTGGCTGTGTAATGTGTGTGTGTATATATGTGTGTGTACATATACTGTATATAATAAATACCTGACAACCTAAACTGTGCCATACAAGGAGATGTTCACTTATCAGTCAGAAAATAATTTCAAGTGGAATCATTAACTTAGGTATTACTTTTCTGTTGTTCTTAAAGCACATTAAGCATACCTCCACCAACTCTCAAACACTAGTGCTTAGCCCTTAAGTTTTAGGATGATCATTACTTTGAGCAGAAAATCAGAATAAACATTTTTATTATTGGTGCCTATTTTCAGATAGTATCATTTAGGATGGGATGCTTGGAATTTTGGAACTGAAGAGAATATTTTTAGTTACACTTAGTTATGTGAGGTCATTTTTCTGTAGAGTTCTTTAATTATTCATTTTATAAATATTTTTTAGAAGGAGAGGGGAAAAAACCCCCTATGGTCTCTGTTGCCCTTTACTCGGTGTATTATTGATTATATAATTTAGAGATCTTTGCTCAGTTCTTTAAAATGCAATTATGCAATTTTTTTTTTGGAGATACAAGGCTGAAAATACAGATGTATCTTATTCTAGTTATAGCTGAATGATTTTTTAACTGTGTATTAGTTGAACATATATTCTTTCTACTGCTAATTGTCTTCACATTTCACTTTTTTCCTTTCTTTTCCATAAACTCATGTCTGAACAGTAATTTTAATTTGCTACTTCATTTTTGCAAAGTTTGCATATTAATTATTTAATAGAAGATGCAAAAAACTCCTTGCAAAATCTTGCATTTATATCTATGTACTTGATTTAGAAGAAATCATATTAATGGATTTTAAAACAAACCATCTCACCTAATAGACAGTAACTTCAATAATTAATCATTAGTGCAGGGCATGCAGGTTTAAAAGGATTTGAATTTTAGTCACTTGAAGTATAGTTATATGTAGTTATGGGTAGGTTAAGAGAACATCTAATTTTTCCTACTCATATTTCCTTTCTAGTGTTAAGCACTGAATCACCATTCACATCACAATAAAAAGCCACTGAAAATGCATTGCTTTAATGGATAGCTGATTTATTATGTAATTAAACATTCACAAAAATGTAATTATATTCCTCTTTAACTTTGACTAAAATACCGCTTTTAGTCATTGTCGCTTTCAGTGTAATTAGTATTTAGTAGTAGACATTTTTGATTGCTTGTGCAGCCATATTCAGTAATTCAGTAGTAGTTTCTGTCAAATCAAACCTAACAGAGCCTTGATCTTATTATAAAGGTACAAGCAGATCTGTTATAGGTAGTTTCTAACTTCTTATTTATGATTCTGATCAATTGTAAGGATCGTTGTAGAAATTTGTGGCTTATAACTTTCTCTGAAATTTATTTATACATATACTTTATAATTTTATTCATTAGTTTTTTTGTTTTGGGTTATCCAGTGGATAACTTAGTAGGAATGGGAATTATTTACCTTATAGTTTCTTTCCTTTCCATTAATTTTTTTTCTGGTTGCCTTTATTCAGTTATATTGGTCAAAAGGAAGGGTCAAAAGTCAAAAAAAATATTACAGCTTATTCCATCAACTAGAATAAGCTGTAATAAATTTAGGAGAATAATGTACATATTAGGATTCCATTTCAATAGTTTGTTCTTCTGTTCTAATTATCATAAATCATATGAAGAAGAACTTCAAACTCTTGTCTTGATCTAGAATTGAGCACTGTCTTCTTTCAACTATGTTTTTAAAGATCACATTTTTTGTCTGCCCAAGGAAAGGATAGGTGAATGAGCTTAAAGTGGCACATGTTTGTTTCTCACTGAATTTTACTGTGGCAAGTAAATGTTATAATGTGCTACATGGAAATGGGTTGGTAAGAAATCATCTAATTCCAGAACCCAGAGATTATTATAAACAGTAAGTAGGTGAAATATATTTATGAATTATGAACCATGATGCAATGTATTTAAATGAATTTTTATATTACTTGCATATATTATTCTCATGTTGATTTGTTGTGCAATAGTTCAGTTTTTAAGAAATTTTCCTTGATCTATGCATCACTTATTTTATTTTTATTTATTTTCACAAGTATTTTCCATTGTGGTAGGATAAAAATATGACTGTAAGCATAAATTAAAAATGTAAAAATTGCTTATGTAATATTCTGAAAGTTATTAGCTTGGAAAAGTAAGATTATTATGGCTGTTGTCTCTTGTTCACTGTTTTTTAATTACAAATAATGTCTTCATTTTTGAACCTATTCAATAAAGACATGAAGCAAAAAAATGCTAGTTGGTTTTCACTGATGTCTTATCTTTTATCCAGAAACAGGTAGAAAGATAGGAATGTACTGAAATATAAAGAAAATATTCGAAGTCAGAATATAGACTTTTTAATGAGAAGAGTTTTCTTTGGCAGTTTTTTTGTGCTGTCAGCTTTTAAAGAAATTATTACTATTTTATTGAATTGAAATGTTTTATAACTTCAAAGCATTATAAATATGTTTCTTCACAAGATTTTTAAGGCATAGAAACATTCTCTTCATAGCCAATAAAATTTAGCAGTTGACAAGGTTGATAGGAAACATTATGGATATTTCTAATTAGGTAATATACAGTTGAATGGCAGAAAGTATTTGTGATGAATACTGAGTGATTTAGATCATCATATTTAAAATTTTAAACAGGAGCTGTCTCTAGTGAAAATATGATCAGATTAGACATGTTTAATTTGCACTCAATTTTCCTTAGCCTAGAGGTGGACACTTCCTACCATGAGTAGAAGCTTAGGGAATGAAAAAATAGTAGAATAGGTACATAGCTACAGAAAGTCAGCAGAACTCTTATGTCTTTATTAGCATTGCAGATATATGTATTTTTAAATGCTAAGTATATTTTCAGTTTTTTAATGGTAAGTGTAATTTTAGTACTAAGATAGGTTGATTTTTTTCAACTGACTATGTTATTGCATAGAGCGGTGGAGAATCATTGAAACAAAGTTTATGGTAGCCACACTCATTTTTATTTTCATTTAGAAAATTTTTAGTTAAATATTATTGTCATGATATTCATTATTTTTATACAATTTTGCTTTTATATGTGAATTGCTTTTTTGCCACTAGAGGGTGCTTTTGGATAATTTATATTGCCAGCCTCCAGTTATTACTTGAAGGCCGCTCAGCAATAAGTATGATATTTTTTTGATAACGTGAAATTACAGAGATTTATAAGATGTAGTTTTTTGCTGTTTATTTTGTCGTGATTTTAATATCCCATATGTTTTTTGTTTGTTTGTTTTTAAGAAACCTAGGATAGCTCATTTTGGGTACCAGCCTGGCAGTTTTTGATAGAAATATTTCATATTAACACCTCACATAATTTTGTTAGCAAAATTATGTATCTCAAACATATTACTTATGCACATTACCAAATAATTCTTGTACTATTACTTTAACATTTCATCTTAATTGTATAACAGTTATAGTCTCCTTTTGAGATGGGGATTTTTTTATTTCCTTCAATCAGCTAGTCTTAACATTATATCTAACATGCGCAAGTGACATCGATTTAGATAGGAGCTAAATAAGTGGTTAGACCAACTAATGTAAGATGCACAAAGCTAAAACTTTCCAAACAGTTAAAAAAATGCTTTACATGTTCTTAAATCTATGAAATGCTAGGAATCAAGAGATATAAGTAAAATGTGATTTAGTCCCTGTCTTGAAGTTGATAATTTATTTGGAAAAGCTGTTATATAAACAGACAATTACAACTTAGGACAAAAAGAAGGATTTTTAAAAATTGAAGTATAGTTGATTTACAGTGTTGTGAAAGGATTCATCTTAATGGAACTTTTCCTTATAAAAGTACCAACAAAATGCTTTATTAAGTGTTGAAGCTTCTTATCACAAGTCATACAGTTGACCATTTCCTATTTTCTTTTTTTTTCCTTCCTTGTCCCAATGCTTAGGAGAAAACTTGGTAGAATATAAGTGAGAGCTGCACCACCTTTTAGAGGGGAAAAGGCAAGTGGCAGTGGAGAAGGATATGTGTGTGGTGGGGTCTGTCAGAGCTGTAAAATGTGAACTACGTGGACTGTCCTGAGGACTGAGGAAAATCAGTACTGAGTAAAAGTTACTGAAAATTCCAGCTGTTCAATCTTATCTCACATAACTCTTCACTTTAACTTTCACTGTCCTTTTTTTTCCCTGTCCTTTTTTTTTTTTTCTCCTCTCTTTGCTCCGTTTCTATGCCTGTTTTGAATCTGCAATAATAAGGCCAGGGATAGGAGGCTGCCAGTATTGGTGAGTAGATTATACTTGTCAATGAAATGCTGATTTTCACTCATCAAATCAGCGATTTTAAATTATAATAAAACTGAAAACCGTCTGGGGCATTAAGATAAATGTCCTTATCTACTGATGGCGGACATATAAATTGATGATACTTTTTGAAGAAGTGGACTAAATTTACTTTAAAAGCCTTAAAAATACACATGCCTCATAACCCAGTAATTTTATTTTTAAGATGTATTTCTTCTTGAAGGAGTAATCTAAAGAAAAATATTTATGCAGAAGACATTTAATAGTACTACTATTTGTAGCGATAAAAATTAGTTAATGAAGCACTTTCAAATAATTTTTAATGGCATGATGAGGTTATGTTTTATTAGGACAAATAGCCTAAAATAGGGAATGTGTGTAAAATATGATTCCAGCTATATAAAAGATTGCACAAATAGGCTTGAAATATATTCCTTATCATATTTTCCTTGTTTCTACTAAGTATTTGTGATGTTACATATTCTTTATATTTTTTGTATTGTCAGTTTTTAAATGAATATATAATACTTTTTTAATCTTTAAAAAATGAGGGTTATGTTTTTCAGAATCACTTGTATGTGATAATCGTTTATTTAAAATCACTACCTCATCTTCATTTGTTTTCTGACATTCACAAATGTAGATGATAGCCCTTGTAATATAGTTAAGCTAGTTTGTTTCTGATACCTGTTGCTGAAACTGGTTTCTGTCAACTCTATGTATAATTTTAATAAGATAATTTTTCTTGAATTTTAGTCGTATTATATTCTTGTATAGGCCTCCTTCCCTTAACTGTTTATTACCTGTGATTTGAAGAGTCCAAGGAATACAAGTGAAATTTTAATTTATAGAGCATAAAGTAAAAATTAAACCTGGTCTAAATATTTTAGAGGTTTTTTTGTTTTTTGCCTTTCCATTGTTGAGCTGTGGGGGCAAAAAAATACATGTGTGTGTGTGCGTGTATGTGTGTGTGTGTGTATATCTGTGTATGTGTGTGTGTGTATATGTGTATGTGTGGGTGTGTATTTGAAACATTCACATCTATTTTCACATATCTACTATACTTTAAAACTTTAAAGATTTTTTTAAGTTATCTTACTTTCTTCTCCTTGTTATTTTAATCAAGAAGAATACTTTGAGAACCAGAAAGTTTTAAAAATAGATTTCCATTTTTACTAATCTTCCCAAACTTAAGAGTCCTTATAGGGAAAAGTCATATGTACCTCACAAGAAACATCAGAAATTCTTTATTTTGAACACTAATTCTTCAAGGGTGATTCTCTTTGGAAACATACTATTCTGTTAATTTGAAAATTTAAAACAATAGGTTTGTTTTTCAATTTATTCCTTACTATAGACAAAATCAAAACACCATTTGAATGAGCAACACGTCTGCTAGATCAGCTCTGTATCCTCGGTGAGGCACTGTATTCTCATGGTCTTTGCTTTTGATAAACAGTGTTACGATTCTCCCTCAAGTATCTCTAGAAAGATTGTTTCTCACTGATGCCATTACGAGAAAGCTGGTATGAGGCGGAGGGGCACTTATCACTCACTGCCTTAGATACTTTACTATAATTTAAGTAGAAAACTTTGAACAATACTAGAAGTTAAACACTGCTCAAAACATAGCTAGTAGTGAAAAATTATCTTGATCTAATTTTAAACAAATTTTCTTACTATCTGTAATGGGCATTTGTCCAGTTTATGGACAGCATCTTTTGAAAATCCTGTGTTTGGTGAGTTTTCTGTATTGAATCTCACTGCCTTGAAATCATTGCCAGAGTTTAGTTTTCCATCCTTTCTTGTGGCTAAGGAGTAGTCATGTGACTTGGGAACTACCGACCAGACTCAGATTCTGAAACAAGTAATG